TGATAAAGGGTTCAGCTTTGATTATTCGCAGGAGGATACGCTATGCATTCGACTTCATCATGTTTCGTAGAGGTCATCAAATGCATCTAGGGCCTATACAGTAGCTTTTTTTGGGTTTATTGGGCTAGTGTTTTTATCCTCTCAGAGAAGTTTCGTACTAATTTGGTGATCATGGAAGAACGCAGCTTAGGATCGAACCAGTAACCGATCCAGTGTGTATTGCAGATCACCTCTATCTACTGCGCTAAGTGAACCCTATAATATAATAATAGCAGATACAATAGTAATGCATGGCTCTCTCATTGCACAGACCACATGAAAGAGGAACTAAATAAAAGAAGGTGAGCAGCTTGGGCCACATTCGGGCCTCTCATAAAAACCACCGATCAACTGAACTACCTGAAATTCCGCGTTCACCTTTTCGATTCTATGGCCCTTCCCAGCGCACTGTTATCCTGCAGAGAAGTAGGCTGATACTTCAATTTCTTCCAGAATACTTCGCACTACTCACAGAGCGTTTGAGCGATGTCTTCCGAAACATAACCGGCACTCTCAATACCTATCCGAAATGCGAAGCCCCAATCTTCGAAATGCGTCACATCTTCGAGATCCTGGAGAATATACATCGATAGCGAAACATAGGTAGGCCGATCACATAATGAGAAGAACAGAGGACAGATGAACAAAAAGAACTGTAGAGTGGACTTCGCAAGAATTGGGCGGACGTGTTCGTGAACAAAGTTAATCAGCTGTGTACCCGCAGCTGCAGATGTTTTACAGATCATCTTATGAGACAGCATGCGCTATGCTCGAAGAAGCCCACCACCATGGACGACACTGGCGAGAAAAAGAAACGAATGGCAAATGTGGTGGGGTCTGCACAACTCGTGAAGACAGACCACCCAAATATCCAAGTATTCAAGTAAGTATCTGTCCGCAAAAGTTATATCCTCGGTTAGTTTGCTCTACTGAAATTCAAATGCTTTGAAAAATACTAGCAATAAATATTTACTGTTGATTAAAATGTTTAAACTCTAGAAACATTCCTATAATTTGCGAATGAAGTAAGGTGGCACACAAAATATAGTACAACGCATAAATATCTATTCACGTTGATTTTACACAATTTCCATGAGCACTATTCTGTATTTCTCCCAATGGTTTACCGCCTCATCGTACCTGGGAGGTGTTCATGGGTGTTGGGCTACGATGTGCAGCGGGGTAATTTATTCCCTAGCAGGGCCTGCAGAGCTGAGAAGGAGCCCGACGTTTCCAACAGAAAGCCCAGCTAAGAGTAAACAGAAACCAGGATCGCCACTGTCATGGTATCAAACTAGTTGCACGGTGGCAAACCTCCCTTTGATCGACAGGGGCGGCGACTGCCTATGCTGGTGACGACCTAGGGCAAACTTTGGCCAACTTGACCTTGGGACCCCAAGAAAACACAATGACTAAACCAGTAAAGCTCTGAAAAAATGGAATGGAATGGAATTATTGTGGAGTCCGCACAATCAATGAAGAGGGGCCATCCAAGTATACAGGTAGGTAGGTAAGTGTTGTGTCACTTCACATTCATTGTGATAATACTAGAGTGTAGTTACCTATTTATTGAAGAAGATTACTGATAAGATAGAAATTAAAAAAACAAAACTAGGGTAACCAAAAGAAACTTGGGTGAGACACCAACCTGCTCATCAAACCAATAGCGACTGGTCCTATGTTTGTTGACTATTCGTGCTTCTTGTTCTACGGCTGATCGTTTGACCACTGGTGATTTCGCCAGTGCTTTTCTATAAGTCAAGAACTTAAAGCGGACTAGTGGGACCTAAGTAGAACATAGGGAAAAGGAAAAGCCCTCTTTTCCTTTTCGCTTCATTGAACATTGGACAGAATTGTGACTTATGAGTATAAATTCTTCGTTCGTCACTGTTATTTTTTTATATTGATTGGGTATTCCGATATATATGGTGCAAGAGATCCGAATAGAGATACTACTGGTTCCATTAAAATTTTTTTTTTGTTGTGACGATATTAGTTAATTGTAGAAGCTCTGCAACCTAAGCAGATCTGACAAGCTTTCCATTCGACTAGGTCTTCTGAGCACGAATGTAGTCAATGGTGGGTCGCAACTTGTCGATCTGGATGTTTTCATATTTTCAGTTGAAATTGATGACTCGTCTTCAGAATCGGTAGAGGTGCCTCTGGAATTGATTGAGACCAGTCTAGCGTTTCGTCCAAGAATGGAAAGGTCGACTGAGTTTGAACGCGTTGGTGGTGATGCTGAGTGCGGTGAAAGGAAGACGTTCGGTATGAGAAGTGACGATGGCACCAGATTATGTGGTAACTGTGAGTTGAACAAGTCGACATCGTTATTATACCGTTCGACAGATGGCGATGACAAAGCCGAACTGGACGCGGAGCTAAAAATAAGAGATTAAAAATGGTGTAGGATAAAAAATCGACTTCGCTATAATATTCTAAAAGTAACTTGTTAAAGATTTCAACCAATAATAAATACAACGTAAGGAATTCAAAGGTAACACCAGTTATTAGCTCTAGATTTATTCAACCTCACTGGTCAGGATGTCTGTGTTTGCATTCCGTTAAGAAATTTTTAATCTTGTATATATTTTTCTGTCTAACATTTCAAATTTGTACGATACCTTAGCCAAGCTTAGAATAGAAAAAATTGTTACGTATCGCAATGAACTTAACACAGAAACCAATATTTTCAGCCCTCAATGTCTTTGACAAGGTGCGAGAAAAGCAGTGGTTGGAGATGCCGTGCAACGCATGGACGCTCTGTAGTTCAACCACTAACGGATTCAACAAAGCTTCTCATCCTTCCAGGTACGGCAAACTGATAATAGATGTGCCTTAAAATGCTTCCTACGACCCATAAACATCGACGAGGAGTGTAGACTTAGGAACATTCTAGTAGAGTTATTCCAGCATTCCAGAGAAATAGAGAGAGAATCAACTCCACTGCCACTCAATGCAGTGAGGCTAATGAAGAATACAATGTTTTCATGTGGGTGGTAGCCAAATCCACTCTCCAGCGGATGAAGGTTCTGAGGCCATGAACCAAATGAAATAAATGCTCTAACCCGAGCATACTGTGTAATCGGATAATGAAAATAATAAAAGTAGCACCTTGACTATATTCCTGTATTATTTTAGAACCCACACACCTGCCTTTAAATAAGTCAGATATTTTCCATCTGAGGTCGCTCATTGCGACAATACAGAAAGGATTAACTAAAAAATTCGCGGTATTTGGCAAAGTCTGGTTGTTCTTTCTTTTCAAAAAGTAGTTGACTTCATCCCAGATCGTAGAAGAGTAATGGTTTTGCTCTTCTTCTTGAATTGCTCCAATTGGCAAAAATTCCGGGAGTACTATTTTCCTCATTCACGTAGAAAAAGCCGACAACAGAAGTTTTTAGTTTATTTACAAATACTTAGTTGGTTTGAGTCTTGCGTCCCAATCGTTCGTCTTTCTACGGAACCCTGTCTTACTACAACTTTTGGAAAGTTGAATGAGGTAAGGTATGGATGTCATTTTGAAACGAAGCCAACCTAATTACCTGGCAAAGTTGCACTGCTCTTCAATGAGTACATAACTCCATCAATAATGAAGTTTACAAGTCTTTTCGAGCACGAGTAATCTGCCTATTCATCGATCAAATTCCGAATATGGGTGAGAAGACGCATAACAATAACTACTCAGCAATCATCATTGTCAATTACGACCTTCGATTTATCGATTCTCTTTGAAGCACAATAGAAAACGATAAATTGTACATGATGAGAAATAATAACAGGGAAATCGGAATCAGTGCAGTTCGTCAATGATTCTCCGTGTTTTAGGCTGTTTCTGAATGTGATCGCGACGTCTAGTTAAAGTTCATTCTATATCACCCAGGCCGAGAAGGAATTCAATATTTCTACCAAGCAACCCAGCTAAAAGTAGACTGGTACCAAAAATTTTTTTTCTCACAACTTCTTGAACGCTCAGCTAAGGTTCAGGCAAAAAATCCTGTAACCACAATAAAATACTGGTAAAATCAAAACGTAGCGGAAACTGTACGGTCCTTCAGGAAGATGCGTCATTCAAACGCTGAACTATCTCTCATCTGTCAACCCGTTAAATATCGGATGACTGAAGTGAACAAAAATAAGGGTTGCATTTATTCCTGTTACAAGGCTCATAATTTCTGCTGTAATGCCCTTTTTTGCAGCACCCTCTCTTTGTGTTTCCAGAAGAAAATGTTATTTTTTTTCCAGCTTTGGTGATAATACTGAGTAATGCTGAACGTCTGGTGTAGTTTGAGATTTGGACACTGTGAATAAGACCTAAGCATTTTTAATTCACTATTAAGAAACCTAGGAGTTGTAAGGTTCCAAAAAAATTCTTGTTCATTTAAAAGGCCTTGGGAACCTAAGGATACTCTGTTCTATCGCATTGCAAAAAGGAAGATTCTAAATTTATGAATAAATAAGAAAATTGACTGTTAAGCCACTTCTCCACCTACACTGAAAACAGTCTTGTTAAAAACTTTCTGTAATGACCATTTCCATGCAGAAGAAAATAGCTCAAGTAAATACAATAAGTTTTTTAATGCTACTGTTGTCATGCCTCCCAACGGGTTACCGCCTCATCGTGGCTGGGAGGTCTTCCTGGGTGTCGGACTGCGATGTGGAGCGGAAGGATTCATCTGCCCGGTAGGATCTCCCAAGCTGAGAAGGAGTGAGGCGTTTTCATCAGGAAACCTAGCTAAGAGTAAACCAATACCACGATCCACCATCGTTCTGGTATCAAAGTCGCATGGTGGCAAATATCCCTCTGATCTACAAGGGCTGCGACTGCCTGTCGTGGTGACGACCTGGAGCAGACTTTGGCCAGACTGTCCTCCGGATTCCAGGAAACCACAATGGTTTAGCCAGCAAACCTCCAAAAAATGGTGATTATGCTGGGGCCCGCACAACTAGTGGGAATGTTCAAGTATCAAGAATTAAGTACTATTCTCATGTGATTCAAAAAAAAAACCAGCTCTACCCTTCTACATTTAAGTTTAAAGCAAATCGACATTAAGCTGTCGTGATAGATGTTTAGTGAGGTTAGCACAACGAAGCCTGGAAATGCAATTGGTGAAGCCTTTAGCTATTGAAATCGCAGGCTCTTTCATATCCGAAAAGTCCAAATGACTTTCGCCGACCATTTTTATGTGAGATGCTCTAAAGTTTGGATTTGCTTAGATCACCTTATATAAAAACTCTTTTCTACATCGACGACGACCTTCTTGAGAAATATGTTCATAGCGCTCATGAAGAATACACGTATAATAAACAGGAACTCTCCAATTATTCACCAAGCTCCCGATACTCGTATTTCAACCAAATCAAAGGTATTCTTTAGGTCGGCAAATGTCAGACGATGCGAAATCTCTTATTCATGCCATAATTTGATGAACTTCGTAGAGATTCGAACGTGAAAATAGCTGCCGAATACTACATATGACGCAGTTTGAATATATGTTTCTCCTTGTAGCTAATAGACATATATTCATAAAATAGGCTGAAAACCAGCCTTGAGAGAACGTAGGTTATCGCGGTAACTGACAATTTCGGCCCAGAATCTTTCTTTATAACAGCATGATTATTTTGAAAGACTTTTACAAAACAGTTTATGCGTATTCCGATACAGAAGACATCAAAGCTCATGCCAGTTTGTGAAGTAGTGCTGGCAGTACATCCTGTATATACGAAATCAACTTTGTCGAGAACGGACACCATAAGTTGCTTACAAGATGGAGTCGACCTGATGGAGCTTTACATAATCTAACTGTTGATGATGCAAAGTAAAAATATGTACAATGAAGAGAAGGAACAAGCACAGTTATGATGAAGTTGGAAAATTTCGTAGAATTATCATGTGCTAATTAAGTGCATCGTTTTCTTCCTTGATTTTACCACTCAAGAAGCCCTGTATTGTAATTTTAAGAGAACACAACAGTCTATCAGGTAAAATTTTCGTTAGAGAGCGATTTACCTTCTTGTTTCCTCCATTTGAACTACTAAGCGATCTATTTATTTATGAGATCTTATAAACTGATCTTCTTAAGAGCCTGGCTCTGAGGAAGGCGAAGTCGCCTAAACGTCAGCCATCGATCAATAACATCAAAAACAACGACAACGACAACGACAACGAAGATCTGTACCAACCTCGCGTCAGCTTAAGAAGATCAGTTTATAAGATCTCATAAATAAATATATCAACTATTTATGCCGAGGTTCATAGAAAGTCGGTCTTTCGAGTTACTAAGCGATCGATTTCAAACAGCTCAGAAGCCGTAAAGTCATGAAGTCACAAAGTCTTAATGTCTTAAAGCGGTCACAAAGTTTGCTAGATATCCTAGACAACTTCTTTTATAGTGGATGTTTAGATGAGACAACCTTTATTATGTGACTGAAACATCTTGTGTTGTAGACCGAATGTGGCTTTCAATGTTACTGTTCCAGTTAGAACAAATCAGAATTAATCCATTTCTGTATACAGTTCTATAATGTTTCTATCATCTATGTGGAATATTCATTCTATGCTTGAATTCACGAAAAAAAATCTAATTTGTTTAGCCTCCGCTGAACTATTACCAGTGTTTTTAAGCTCGCAAATGTGAAAGCTATGAGAGAGATCGGTGACCCTTGCTTTTTTCCTTTATTACGGTCTGCAAATTAGAAAGCTAAGAAAGGTGTCGTAGATCTCTTCCAACTTTCATCTCTTCTATCATCATCTATGACCACATAATCATGTTATTATTGAGCAACTCAAGTTGTCAGCAGTACAGGCTGCATTTCTATTGCCTAATCATTGTTCAACATTACCACCAAAGAGCTCCATTTACTCGTCGTTAAAGAAACACACCTTATGTTTTGAATAAGGTGTGTTAATTTTGCTATCATACTAGCAAAAAAACATGCATTGATATTGTACCTACTATTATTATATTATAGGGTTCACTTAGCGCAGTAAATAGAGGTGATCTGCAATACACACTGGATCGGTCACTGGTTCGATCCTAAGCTGCGTTCTTCCATGATCACCAAATTAGTACGAAACTTCTCTGAGAGGATAAAAACACTAGCCCAATAAACCCAAAAAAGCTACTGTATAGGCCCTAGATGCATTTGATGACCTCTACGAAACATGATGAAGTCGAATGCATAGCGTATCCTCCTGCGAATAATCAAAGCTGAACACTTTATCATTTTATCTTTGATTGCTTAATTATTACATTAATTGCTCGCTTATCGGACTCAGATGCGAGGCCTTCCTATACATACGAAAGCTTGTAAGATCTTATAGAAAAGAAGTGGAATATAATTGTGCTCCTACAATTGCAGCCGCCTGACAAATATTTTGTAGTAACCTAATTAAAGACTTTTGAATGAATTGAGTTTAAGGACGCCATTCTCATTCACAGAAGCTCGCATGATTATTATGTGTTCATGAAAGTCAATTTAGCTGGAAGTTCGTGTACCCGGATTTCCTTTAGATTCACCAACGTCTTGGAGAAAGTACATGGTCGTTTTTGATTTAATCCCATATTTGCTCACTGGAAAAACATCATGGAGATTTACGATTAGCCAGCCCGGAGCCTCTTACATCGACGAGATTCGTGGATATTTATGATTACATATAGCATGGGAAAAACACAAATGGCAATCGTTTATATTGAAATTATCCAACTAATGATTTACCAGATATGGGCTTTGTATATCCCAATCTGATATTAAATATTATGGAATTGCACTATTCACAAATAAAAGAATACCTTCAAATCCATGTACAGTAAGAACTTTGGCATTAAAAAACCCAGATAATCATGCCACACTAGCGCTGGTGTTCCATCTTCGAACAATGAATGAGAAGTGCTTTTCCACTGGCACTCATATACAGTTGAAACTACTTTTAACCTTTTTGTAAAGAAGAGGAAAAATNTTTTCGAAAATTAAGCACTAATAACTTTACTACTTGGTATATAGAAGAAAAGAAAAGCAATGGAATTAAAAGAACCCAACCTCGGTTCCGAAGCTGGTAGCGACGAACCGCGTTCGCTCACGAGGAGATGTGGATTAGATGTCAGGTCTTCTTCATCAGAAGTAATCGACGACACAATAATGTTTGGCATTGGCTTCAATAGCATCTCAGAATTCTTAGTGGATCCTACACGACGAGTCAGCAACTTAATTGCACCCTCCGTCTCGTTCTTCAATAATTGACTACGGTATTGAGCAACTAGTGAACAGTGACTGCATGAAATCTGAAAGAAAGTCGAACAATTATTACCATATTTTTAACATCTTAATATATCTTTCCTTTTTTTTTAACGACAAAGCATGAATGTAGCTTTGAAGTCAAAGGTTGGGTGAAGAAGTTTTTCCTTAAGTCATCTTCAAATACTGCTAACGAGAATATTTTCATTCCAGCTATGACATCACAGAGCGAAATAGATTACGTATCATAAGATTAAAATGTTTAACAAATAGTCTAAAAACCACTGCAATAGGTTTAAAAGAATCCTGAAGTAGTTTTTTAAAAAAGTCTTCCCAATGATTAGCTATGCATCTAATTTTAGAATAATGATGCCTAGCAATAATCATGGGAATGGTAAAATATTATTTCGATGAAAATTCCTCCAGCACATGAATTATCTACGAAACCCTTCTCAAGTCTTGAATTTACCTCAAAATCGGGACTCGGATATTTCTCGAATAAAAGTAGGGTGAACGTAAAAGTACATGGTTCATGTACAGACTAAGCAGATAAACAAGGACGAAAAGCGATGACTTCACTTCCAGGATTCAATCGGAGTCTCTCATAAATAATGATTGATTAATGGCAAGGTTAACAGTAAATGAATCCAGGGAACAACCATAAGTTATGGCCTAAAATTAATTTATGGGCATCAGTAAAATCTCAAATAATCGTCCCTGCCGTGCTTCAAAGCTTTCATTTAGGTTCACTATCTCTGCTACACCGAATTTCTCCATACAATTCGTATACACATAATCATATTTAGGTAAAGTGTTTGGATGTGCTTGCACGCACATAGATGGTAAAATGCATGTCGATTCGGTCAAGTGCCTGCAATTAAATGGCTGCGGAGCAGATTGGAGCCCGCTACAATTGTAGCCGAACAATTATAATAAGTTCCCTTATATTCTAGGAGCGCTCAAACTTCTGAAAATATGTTTCTATTCCACCATAGCAAAGTCTAACGAGTGGCGCACTGTTATCTACTCATCAAAAAAAAACTTCAAAGGACAAAGCACAAAATGTTTCGCGTTGATCAATCCCTGAGAGAAGCGGCATACATTTGACTTAATCAAGCATCGTTAAAGGTAAATGAATGCATATATGCTTTATTCAATAATTTCAGATGGCCTACTGATGTGTCAATTTAGTACTGTTATACTCCCCTAGAAATTCGCTAGCAACCAGACCAACCTTTACCGACCCCAGAGGGATGGAAGGTCTACTGAGTGCGGGTGCGGAATTGAGGCGACAACCACGAATGTAATGCAGAGCACCTCGAACTAGTGCACATTACGCACCATACTCACCAAACATGGTGAAAACAATGTAACGAATGCGAAAGATATAGTGCAATTCGCATCGCACTAACGAGATAAACTCAGTAGGCAGACCTGTAGTGCGAGAGAAATGAAGCGTTATTGAGGTGATGGGATGAAAATATGACTACCGGAAGCCTAGGAATGAATCCAAGCAGTATTTTTATCTCTCTAGAGAATTCTTGTAGTAATTTTGCAACCACGGAAGAATGGAAGGCGACTTGGTTAACCGGTGCGAGGGGTAGAACCAAAGTTCATGTGCATCACAACACACCAGTAACCACTGCGCTGTACAAATCACCTATTGAGATTACTCAGTGATTAACGAGTACGGGAGGTTATGGTATGGACGAAGACGACGTGAGATCAAAGCGCTCATAATTTTCTTCCGACCAGAATTAGTTGTAATACCATTGCAAAACTGCATCGCTGAATTTCTAACGGGTAAAATTTTCCACAGGCACAACAATTACACTAATTACGAAAATTTTTACCCACTTTTCCTTTTACAGGGGTCCTGATAAATTTTTTAATGGCTCTTTCATGGATAACTGCAGGTTTCGTTTTCGTAAAAAAGATGATTACATTAACAATACCTCACCTCCAATTCAAATCGTGGCTGTTCCACGCAGGTACCATGAAGTAGATGAAATTCTTGATGGGCTTCTGATTCAAACGATCCATCTTTTTGTAAACACAGTATATCCGTATTGCAGTCCATGTATTCATTTCCCCATGACTGAATCGATCTAAGCGGTTTCTTTTGCAGAGCCAGTACCATCGCGTTCGTGCTTTTCAACGCTTTGATCATCTTTTTCGAGCTTATCTTTGGATCCTCCTCCGGTTCACGGACGATTTCACAAAGACTGAGAACTTTGTTTACACGTTTCTCCTTTGAATCTGAGCATTTGAGGGCAGACTCCGATTTTTTTGAATATAAGACGTTGTCGCTGTTTCTTCGTAGCAACGTTTGCATTGTTATCGCAACGATAACAAAGCACCTAAATCTTCAGCAGATCTGGCCAGTGGAGAAGAGCATCATGGTTTCCAACGATAGTGGCGACTGATGAAAGCGTGGTTTGGTTCTATGAAGCCATACTAACAACGGAACGACTACGTCTGATGTATCGATAAGCCACGCCTTTCAACACTTGAGATCGATGGTTGGTGGCGTTGGCATCACTGCTGGATTGGTTCATGGCTAACCAACACATTTTCGGACAAGTACAATGAAGACGAACGAAGAAGAAGTTATCGATAAATTGGATAACTAGAAATACTGAAAGAAAATCTTTGTTATCGATCACAGCAAAAAAAAAAACTTTGAAAGATGATTCCCGTCTGTCAAGCATCTATAAACGAAATATCTAACGAACGAATTTGTAGGCACCAAGTTACTGAATTATTGGTTCAAGATTTAACAAAGCATGACAAATTGCTTTCCTGAAATATTTTTTGACTTAAGCATTCAAGGAAAAAATGCAAAATACACAGTTCATTGTATTCTGAACTTTTTAAGGCAACTGCCAGTGCCACAGGTGGCGGCTACATTTCTTGACGGAGTTGCTCATCTAACTAGATTTCTGTTGCTATAATCTAATAAAATCTTGACTAATATAGTTCACTATAAATTAAGTTAATGCTTATTCCGGCGCTTATATCATCATTTCTAATCCTATTATAAGCAGCGTTCTTTTTTTTTTTTTTACCGTCATCACCTTTTTGAGCGAACCTCATTCGCTTAATCTTATTGGCACTCAATAAACTCTATACTTCACAATTAAAACCATTTATATGCTTACAAATGTGTATATATGTGGATTTCATTTGCACAAGCCGACACTACAAATTGTGCGCCCTTGAGCAATTTTTTCGTTTCTTTCGTTTTCTCACTTTTGCTATTCTCGAAAGGTTTTGCATTTGAGTTTTTCATTTAACGTTATTCCTACCAACAATTTACCGCCCCATTGTGGCTGGTAGGTGTTTCTGGGTATCAGACTGCGATGCACAGCGGGGCGACTCATCCTCCTGCAGGGTCCCTCAAGCTGAGGAGTCCCGCGTTTCCATTAGCAAGCCTAGCTTAGAGTATCTACCTCTGATCCACAAGGGCTGCGACTGCCTGTGGTGGTGAAGACCTGGGGCAAAGTTTGTCCAGGTTGACCTCGGAATTCCAGAAAACTATAATGGCTTAACCAGCAAATCTCCGAAAAATGGTGATTATGATGGGGCCTGCATAACTATTGAGGATGAGCCGTTCAAGTATCAAGTTAGTAAGTTTTAACGTTATTCATTTAACATTAGGCAACACACTAGTTCTATTATATGCTGCTTGCAGTAGACTTATTGCGTGTTGTTGATATTAAGTGTATTCATCTGACTTCTACGTAGCAGTACGAGAACCTTTTGTTCTTTCGCAAGGTAATGAATTCATGGTCGAGTGTAATAGATTTTCGATAAGTGCATGTGCTGAAGGCTTGAAAAATCGATTTTTTCCAAAAATTTGTGAGGAAGCGTTCTCCTATTCACTGAAGAATGAGACTCTCATCCATGATTGGCATAAATAGTCAATGTTTTATTGTGTTCGTGAGCTTTTGTGAAGTTCTAATAAATTTTTTCTTGCCGCAAACGTTTCCGAGTGGCATTCGCTTTCTTGGGAGAAGCAATGGTTCGAATCGGATGTTCATAGCAGTTTGTTCTTGCGATAAGACTCATCGCATCACATAGGCCAAAATCCTGTGCAGTGGAACACCGAAAAATCTTGCGCAAGCTCACAGATGCAATGTATATATATATATATTTTATTTTATTTGACCTGTCTTCACGTTTACTGTGCGGACCCCAGCACTTCTTACATTCGACTCGTTTTCTGGCATCCATTATCCACGAAAATTCGTCCGGTACCAACTTCCCAACTCCTGAGGGATGAGAGGCTTGGTTGGCCTGTAGCGGAATCGAACTAGCACCGTGCTCGTGATGACCGACATCACTACAGCAGTGCTATCCGCCCCCGCTATAATATATGTAACTGCAGATGCATATTCATACATATATGTATATATATCTATACACACATATGACATACCTAATGTAACATACTACATATAAATTAGAAAAACATAGTAATTCCCATGACCGACTTTCTGTTAACCTCGGCATTAATTGATAATTCAATGTTTAACGCACGTCCCAAAAGCGCGCACGTTATGGAATCGTTCGACGTTACCGCTCTTTACACTAACGTGTCGAACGACTCCGCAATGCAAGCCATCCGTGAGCTTCTTGAGAAACACGAAAGAGCGATTAACATGTATGGCCTTTCGATTCAGCAGCTTATGGTCCTCCTGAAGGTCTGTTTAAACTGCTCGATCTTCAGATGGTCCGGGAAATATTACGCACAAATTAGAGGGTTGGCAATGGGACAGCGACTGGCACCAACCCTTGCCGTTGCCTTTATGTCTAAAGTGGAAGCACCAGTAATCGATCTCACGCCATTACTCTACTGTAGGTACATAGATGATTGTTTTGTCATCTGCTCCACACAAGAGGAGATGGACAAATGCTTTAAGTTATTGAATGAACAGTCAGAGTACATAAAATTCACCCGTGAGAAACCGAAAGAAAACTGGCTTCCATTTCTAAACCTTCAAATTAACCTATCCGAGAACGGCTACACCACAAAATGGTATCGAAAGCCGAGCAGTAAGAATATAGTGGTTCACTACCGCTCCTCTCACCCCTCACACACTAAAAGAGCGCTTATAAGAAATATGTTTCGAACCGCCGCTAGCGTGTGCACAGGTAGAGAGCAGAGGGAAGAATCCTCGAAACTGGCGCGACAAATAGCCATCTCAAATGGTTACGAAACTGTAGCTTCTCAGGATAGGCATCGAGGAAATCCCACGCCCCAAA